AAGTCTAACATGTATTTAAGCTAGCCTACGCTGCAGCCTTAGACCCCAGCTTTGGCTAAGGTTATACATTCCTAACTCTTACAAGCTTCTTGCTCTCACTATTTAAGTGATGCCCTAACTTCTTGCAATCTACCAAAAGCCTCTCTAACACTGAATCACTGAACGCAAGTGACAGGATAGAGATCAGCCTTGGTTCAGATTAGAGTTAGTGCTTAACAAACTGGAATACAGGCTTGGTAACCTTAGCATGCTGTAACTGCTGCAAGGTATCATTTCATCTTCCAGATAAAGATTCCAAACAACAGTGGGGGACTGAAGTTAAAGATGGGGACACTATCCTTGTTATAGACTTTGAGGAAGCCTTTTATATGCAGGTGATAGGACATAAAAAGAAACAAAGTCATTTGAGGAAATTGTCCCCAAACACTATAGAGATTTCATCAATATTTTCACCAAGGAAAACTTCAATGAACTTCTCCCTTGCAAGCCTTGGGACCATGCCATTGAGCTTGTACTTAATGCTAACACTAAACTGTGGCCAGTGCAAGACTACCACAAGCTTAATGAAAATGACTATCAAGAATCGCTACCTCTTACCGCTTATCTCAGACCTTATGGATAAGCTCAAGGGCATGAAGTATTTCACTAAGCTAGATGTTCATTGGGGATACAATAACATCCAAATCAAGGATGGGGATGAATTCAAGGCCATGTTTTGCACCAACCAAGGGCTCTATGAGCCCATGGTTATGTTCTTTGGGCTCACCAATTCACCTGCCATGTTCCAGTGAATGATAAACGATATCTTTAAAGATCTCATTGCTCAAGGGCTAGTCACTATTTATCTGGATGACATCCTCATCTTCATGAAGGACAAGGTGGAACACCAAAGAGTGGTGCAGGAGGCCCTAAAGATTCTGTGCAAGAACAAATTATTCTTGAAAGCAGAAAAATGTGAATTTGAGATACTCGAGACAGAATACCTTGGAGTCATTATCAGCAAGGGTTCCATTAAGATGGACCCTGTCAAGATCGCTGGTATCATGGACTGGCTGGAACCCTCCAAGAAACAGGAACTACAATCATTCCTGGGGTTCACCAATTTCTATCGATGATTCATCTGGCACTACAGTGCAATCATCAAACCAATGACAAAACTCATGGGGAAAGGAACAAAAAGAAGCATTTGAGGAACTCAAACACTAATTCACAATGGGAGTCATATTGGCAATGCCAAATCACTACAACAAGTTTCATGTGGAGGCAGACTCCAGTGAAGGAGCAATTGGTGCTGTCCTGTCACAGGAACAGGAAGGAAAATAGTGCCTGATTGTGTTCTTGTCAAAATCTCTTTCTATGATGGAACAGAATTATGAGATTTATGACAAGGAACTACTTGCAAGAATGATCACCTTGGAGGAATGGTGACATTATCTCATAGGTGCCTGTCAATATTTTGAAATCTAGATGGATCACTCCAACTTGCAGTACTTCTGCAAGCCACAGAAACTCAACCGCAGACAAGTGTGGTGGGTCACTGAGCTAGCAGAGTACCACTTCACACTCAATCACAAACTGGGAGTGTTTAATAGGAAAGCCAACCTCTTGAGTCGGTGAGCTGATCATGACCAAGGCAAGAAAGATAACAATGACATTGTTCTCTTGAAACTGGAATTCTTCCAAGCCCTGATAATGCTGACAGAGGAGGAAATCCACAGCAAAATCAGGAGAGCCACAAGCGATCACCAATGGTGGGACTAAGCGATCACTACCAGCCTCAACCATGAGAGGGAGGTCATCAAAAAAGACCACCTACTATTCTATGATGAACACATTTATGTCCCTCATGACCATGCATTACAGGGAGAACTCATCTCCCACTACTATGATCATGTCTCTGCAGAGCACCCAGATATCAACAAGACCAAGGAATTAGTCTTGAGAGAATACTGGTGGCTCAGGCTGCGAAAAGATGTGGAGACCTATGTATGAGGATGCAAGGCATGCCAAAGGACAAAGACTAACATGCAACAGAAAGCAGCTCTGCTACATCCAAACACTGTGCCATCTTGATCATGGGAACACATTTCGGTCGACATGGTCACTGGATTTCCAGAAGCCAAAGGTTACAATGTAGTACTAGTTGTTGTAGACCAATTCTCAAAATACATCATGCTAATTCCATGCATGAAAGAACTCTCATCGAGTGGATGGGCTAAAATCCTGCATGATGAGATTATCTGTTGATTTAGAGTCACCCCTTCGAAGGTCATCTCTGACCAAGGACCCCAATTTGTTTCAAAATTCATCACTGAGTTATACATGATGATGGACATCCAAGGAAATCCATCAACGGCCTATCACCCACAGATGGATGGACAAATGGAGCAGGTTAACCAAGAACTCAAAAAATATCTTTGAGTCTTTGTTAACCACAAACAGGATAATTGGAGTGAATGGCTGCAGTGGGCAGCATTCACTCACAACAACCGCCAACACTCTGCAATAGGCTTTTCCCCCACCAAGATCATCTTTAGATGAGATGGAGAAATTTGCCCAACTATGGTGAGGCCATTGGAAACACCATCAATAACTGACTTCGTTGAAAGCCTCCAGAGAGTACACAAGACAGCAGAACACTCTCTGAATAAAGCCGCCGAGGTTATAAGAAAGGCTTATGACAAACACACTCATCCTGCACAGGAGTATCAACTAGGTGATAAAGTCTAGACTCAACCAACCTTCACCTCTCATGACCAGCAAAAAAGCTGGATGATAAATGTGTCAGACCCTTCAAGATAATCTTGAAGAAGGGGTCCTCCACCTACGAGCTGAAGCTATCACCATGTTGGAGAATCCACAACAAGTTCAACAAACGATATCTAACTCTGTATGTCCCCTTGGAGTTTTCCAACCAAGAGAAACCACTGCCACCTGAGCCAGAGCTCATGGATGGAGAAGAAGAATACAAAGTAGAGAAACTACTTCAGGACTGCGATCACGTTATCAGTCAAGAACACAACCAGAGGACTACAACAGAATATTTGATCAAATGGAAAGGATATCCAGTGGAGGAAGCCATGTGGGTCAAGAGGAGTGACCTCACCAATGCCAAAGAACTCGTCAATTGCTACAAGAACAAGGAAGACCACATAGAGGATCATGATTTGTGACACTTGAAGAACCAGATGAAGGGATATATAACTATATCATCTCCTGGCTCTTCAACTGAGAGCTCAACAGTTTTGCTAGACAAGCAGGGCTATTATTCATCAGACACAGATGAAGATGTCTTTGAAGATGAGCACTTTGGGTCTCCTCTTACGACTCAAACTGACCCTAGCTTCCTGCCACAAGAACAGGGCATGTCTGCTTGGAGAAAAACCAAGGACTATGGATGTGATATAGAATCCACTCACTCCCTTGACTCAGGGAGTGAGTATATCTAATGACTGTTGAGATGACAGTCTTAGTTGGGGAGTATTATTATGACCTTACCTCTATTTTCCTTATCTTATCTTATCCTTATCTCACAGAATCCTGGACCAACCTATCTTATCTCCTGGACCTACGATATTCTGCCAGCACACTTCCTATCCATTCATCTGGTTGCTGTCACCCCTCAACAGCTGCCACCTCTCGGATGACCAATGTACTGCATGCACTATCATGCTTCTCTCGATGGCATCATGCTTCTTAGTGGTTCAGCAATACAGACCGCTAGTTGAGAGTGGTCTACAGGATGAGGGCTGCTCAGACAGAGTCCCACAACAATGCAGGTGATATGCACTCTTTACTCTCATTCATCGGAGACACACTTTCAGTGTCCTCACTCCTCATTCACTACAAAGTGCACTTCTTGATACATGTGCCCCAATAGATACTATTATTAGTATGAGTCTAACATGTATTTAAGCTAGCCTACACTATGGCCTTAGACCCCAGCTTCAGCTAAGATTATATACTCCTAATATTATGGATTTTCACTTATCTTTTGCTAAGTACCTTACTGACTCATATATGCTTAGTACTGCACTACACAGATGTTACATACATCCTTCTATTTGGACTAACTGCCAGCTCATCGTACAATTCTTGGACTTATTAGCTATTATTTTTAGGACTACTTTCTTGTATTTAAGCAAGCCAAGCTGTGGCCTTAAGCCCCAGCTTTGGCTAAGGTTCATATACCTAGTTATCGACTCTACTATTCTTGCCTAGGCTGTCTAAGTATTCCTCTAAAGGACTACTTGTGTCTGCTCGTTGTATGCTTGACCGAAGTGTGAGTCACATCATGAGTTTGACCTTGTTTGTCATACTAGTAGGCTACATTTAGCCAAAGCTTCTCTCTAAGGTCTTCATTGTCAACCACAACAGTGAACAACACCTATGAGCAGCACCTCGTCTAACACGTTTAACATTTTCACTGGTTTCCTAACCGCCATCCTCGTCCTCATATTCTGCTTCCTCTATGGATACCTCAGATACAAATGATGACACCGTGCCCGAGTCCCGCAGACCCCCACTCCCGGGAGAGTATACTATGGGCTCAATAGCCAGCCTAGGTGAACCCCATTCCATTATCAAAATGCCAGCACCTTCAGATTCTGACACAGCACTCCGACGTCAAGGGACGAGAACATCCACACTGACCTCCCAGTCGAGCAGATTGAAGAATACATGGAAGGAGAAGTTCGGACTGGTGGAGTTGAAGAGCAAGACGATGCCAGCCAAAGGGAGCAGCAAGTCCTTGCAGATGGGATTCTTCAGATGTCTGTGGACCCCTTGGACGAAGAATATGGAATCGCAGAAACAAGGGTCAATCCCAGTACCGGGGGGGACCATCATTGGCTCAGGAACTCATCCCCATAGCATCTGACACTACATCCACACCAACCATGAGGAAGAAACTTTTATGGCCTACGATGGATTCCCCCCCCCCCCCCGTGCACCAGACCCCGACGAAGTCCCCAAGCCAGAAGAGTTCGACACATACCAGCATGACTGGGCAATCATGGATGCATGGCACCAAGCCAACCGACTCTCCCCACTCGAGGACGGGGAGATACCAGAGTTCGATCTACAGTACCCAGACTCACCCACTATCTCCGGATTCCCTGACATCAGCCTTGCAACCAGGAGAGCAGATACTAGACCTGACCCCTGAGATACCTCCGAGTCGGACCCATACGATTCCTGGGTCACAGACGATGGAGAGCATAACCCCTATGTGCTCAGAAATGAGCTTACCAACCACCACCTTAGCCCCTACAGAGAGTGCCATGGAAATCTATGCCACCAGCTTCAAGCCATTGCTGAGGACCAAAGAAGAGAGTGGGAGACCCCCAAAGCCCTTGTCCCCTACATCAGGTGGACTGCTGGACAGTACAGAGCAGAGCCAGAACTGGTCTGCTTCTTCTTTGATAGACCCGTCCATCTGGAGTGGGATGTCCTATACAGAAGGTTCCAGGACTTTGCATGTTCCATATGAAACAGAAACCAGTCCCTCACCAGAACAGGAGGTACCTACGTACCTGAGAGACTCGAGCACCCCATACTACCGCAGCCCGAAGACCAGCCCCTCTATCAGTGGCCTCGCAATACTGCAACATGGCAATGGAACCACCTCTACCCATGGGAGCGAGCCCAGATCACCGGGTTCTGCTACTGGCTCCCAGAATCAGACAGCGAGGAGATCACACCCTACCCCTGATCAACCCCTGAACCCCATAATGAAGAAGGCAGTAATTGAAATGGACTGGGAAGAACTAGTGGAATGGCAGGGAAAGTCCCTGGCCAATGAGGGAGCATGGATCTCTACAGATGCCGCCAAATTAATGTATCAACCTCAGGTACCGGAAATAGTATAAAATGCGATCTATGAAGATGAGGTACTCTATCACGCTGCCAAATTATGGAATTGAATCCATGATGACCACGTGGACGTACTACAACCCTTCAATCAAAGAAGCTACCTGCCATATCACTGGGCCGTAATTCCTAAACCCATAATAACGCAACCTACTTTACCCCCAGGAAGCAGACTTCTAGGAGGGATGCCAATGGAAGAAGAAGAACCACAGAATGTGGAATCCGCACCACCGTCTCAGCACATCAAGAAAAATGTGCACCCTACTCGACAGCTGCCGCCACCTCCGTCTCCACCCATGCCACCATATGATCACCATCACGACTATGAACTGCGGTCCCTACCTGAACTGGTAGATCTAGAACTACCCCCGAAACTGCCTGGTCCTCCACCAGATAGTCTCGGACCATGGAAGCTAGAAGGAAGTGAACTTCCCTGGGGGGCCGTCAGGCCTAAAATGATGAAGACCCCAGCCCCATTTTCCAGAGCTTCTAGCGATGTGAAAAGGTTCCTATCCAGTTGCAAAGACTACTTCGTGATATTTCCCCAGGAATTCCTGATGAGCGACTGAGGGTATGCCTCCTCTAGGGTGGTATTCGCCACCTCCTTATTGGAAGAAAAGGCACTAGAATGGTGGGTACAGAAGAAGGGACGACTATACGATGCTACCTGTCAACACACGAGGTACCCCACATGGCCCAGTTTCGATGCCGACTTCAGGGAGAGATTTGGAGAAGCCGCCAAGATCAAACTAAAAAGGATAAAGTGGAAGGCACTGTGGCAGGTGAACTACAAGAATGCTGTCGAATTCTTCGCAGACTTCGAAGAGCTTGCCATTGAGGCTGAGAAGTTCAGGAATGAAGATGAGATGACCGATACAGTAAAAAAGGCCATACGGGTGAAAACCAAGGACATCATCATGCACAGGGACAACAACCGACCCCACAACTACGAGGAGTGGAAATGGAGGGTGAAGTGGATCAACGAGAACTATCACGTACATAGGGTGGAAGAAGCTGGATCGGGGAAAGGATCAGCAGGGAAGAGTACAGCCCCAAAGGCGAGTAATCCTGGCACCACTGATCATTGCAAGGATGCTATGGGAATGACCTACGGGGGCCAGGGGCTCCCAATGGAAGTAGACCACCTCAAAAAGAACAGGTTATGCTTCCGATGCGGTCTTCCCAACCATATGGCGAGGGACAATAAGTGCCCTTCTGATCAGTCCCTCTGGAAGATCACACCAAAGCCCAGCCCCAATGCCAGGCAATATAAACTCTCCAAGTCCATGATACGTGCCATGCTAGATGATCCCAATCAACCAGAGGAACTTGCCAGCACAACCGGGGTGCAGGAGGTAAAAGACAAGCCAGCAAGACAATAAGCGATTCAGTCTCACCAGCCAGGACTTTAGTTTCTAATTTACATGTACATCCTATAATGCATTTGAATATACCCCCATTGCCATCATGTCCTATAGAAACAAAGCAAGAATTGCGTGATCCCTCAGAGGAGCAAGGGGCCGATGACAGGGGAATAAGGGAAACAGAAGTGTCGATGAAAGGTCTGGGTCTATGCACAGGCAGGCCCATACCTGCTGAGGGCCCTAATGGAACATGCCACGACATGAAGACCTTTATGTCCCACTCTCCCTCACGTGAAACCCCTACCCAGATGAGAGTCACGGTGGAAGAAGTATCTGATGAGGACAATGACTACAGCTACCTACACCCAAAGGAAGCCTACACTGAGACGAAGACCCGAACCAAGATCATGGAGTACCCTCAGCAGACAGGCACCAAATGCCTCCAGGGCTATCACCCACACCAGGACCAACCAGAGTGGGTACGATGAGGGATAAAAAATGCCCAGGGGCTAGAAGCAAAAAAGGAAGTCCTAACAACCCAATCATTGACTGGGCCACCGGGGCAGTAATGCTAGCCCAGTGTGACTGTCAACCAGTCCCATTCCAACTCCCAGATGAAGACTCCTTACACTGGACAGAGTACAAGGAGGGGGATCGAATCCTCATGGTGGACATGGAACAGGCCATACACCTACGAGCAGCAGGTACCTTATCCAATGATCTGGCCACGCGGGCTAACAAGAATAAGCTGGACCGCACCTTTGAAGAGATTGTACCTGCCGACTACCATGACTACCAAGATGTCTTTGCCAAGGAAAGCTTCAACGAATTACCACCCCACAAACCCTGGGACCACGCAATCAAACTAATCCCCAACGCAAAAGCCAGCTTGGACTGCAAGGTGTACCCCCTCAATCCAAAAGAGCAGGAAGAGCTTGATGCATTCCTCTCCAAGAATCTAGAGAGTGGAAAGATTCGACCGTCGAAATCCCCAATGGCCTCCCCCTTTTTCTTCGTGAAAAAGAAGGATGGGAAATTATGACCAGTCCAGGACTATCGAAAACTCAATGAAATGATGATAAAGAATTGATACTCACTACCACTAATCAGGGAGCTGATGGACAAACTCCAGGGAGCCTGGTACTTCACTAAACTAGACGTGCGATGGGGATATAATAATGTCAGGATCCAGGAGGGAGACGAGTGGAAGGCTGCATTCCGTACCAACCGGGGATTGTTCGAACCACTGGTGATGTTCTTTGGACTCACCAATTCACCAGCCACATTCCAATGGATGATGAATGATATCTTCAAGGACCTAATTGCCGAAGGAAAAGTTACCGTCTACCTCGACGACATCCTAATCTTCACCCGAATGCTTGCGGAACATCGCCAAGTCACCAGGTGGGTGCTACAACTACTCCGAGAACATAAACTATTCCTAAAGGCATCCAAGTGCGAGTTCGAAGCACTCGAAACCGAGTATTTAGGAGTGCTTATTAGTGAAGGGAGGGTATGCATGGATCCCGTCAAGATCACTGGTATCCTGGAGTGGCCTGAACCCACCAGGAAACAAGAACTACAGTCCTTCCTTGGTTTTACCAACTTTTACCGAAGGTTCATTGAACATTACAGTGATAAGGTACGCCTGTTAACATGCTTGACAGGCAAGGTACCCTGGGAATGGGGCACAGGGCAACGAGAAGCATTCCAGGGAATTAAGGAGTGCTTCCATCATGGAGTGGTGTTAGGAATGGCAGATATCACCAAGCTGTTCCGAGTAGAGGTGGATTCAAGCGACGGGGCGATTGGAGCAGTATTATCTCAAGAGGACAATGGGCAATGGAGACCCTTAGCATTCCTATCCAAGGCACTGACCACCACGGAGCACAACTATGAAATATACAACAAGGAACTCCTTGCCATCATGATAGCACTCTCAGAGTGGTGCCACTACCTCCTAGGGGCCCAGCTAGATTTTGAAATCTGGAGCAATCACCAAAACCTCCAGTACTTCCAAAAACCCCAAAAGCTCAACTGCCAACAAGCTCGATGGGTCACGGAGCTAGCCGAATATCACTTTAGTCTTCACCATAAACCTGGAGTGTCAAACAAGAAGGCAGATCTACTTAGCTGAAGGGCAGACCACGAGCAAGGGAAAGATGATAATCGGGACATCACAGTACTCACACCGGAACACTTCCGAGCTCTAGAAATGCCGACCTCTAAAGAGGTCCACGATTGCATTCATTGGGCAACTCAAGACCCACGCAACTGGGACCAAGGAATCGCCACTTCGCTTAATCATGATGAAGGCGTAACCAGGGAAGCGGAGCTGCTTATACATGATGGGCGCATCTATATACCACGGGATTTCTCCTTGCGAGGTGATATCATAGCCCGACATCATGATCACATACTAGCTGGCCACCCAGGAATAGAAAAAACCAAGGAGCTAATACTTAGGGAGTATTGGTGGCCCAAGATGCGACAAGACGTGGAAATCTACATACAAGGGTGCGAGACCTGTCAATGCACCAAGGCCCGCACCCAAGCCCACAATGCTCCCCTATATCCCAATGAAATCCCTGATAAACCATGGGATATCATCACCGTAGACCTGATTACCAACTTACCTGAATCTAACAGCCACAACACAATACTCAACATTGTGGACTGATGCTCCAAAACCCTGATATTGATTCCATGTTCCAAGGAACTATCAGTGAAGGGGTGGGCCAGGATACTCAGAGATGAAGTCTGTTGCAAGTATGGACACATCCCCTCCAAAATCATTTCAGACCGTGGACCCCAATTTGTCGCCAAGTTTACTCGGGAACTCTATCGTCTCCTAGGGATCAAGGGCAACCCTTCCACCGCTTTCCACCCCCAAACAGATGGACAGACCGACACACATGCACTTAAGTGAAGTCCCTGCAGCACAAGATTTCATGGAGCACCTCACTAAAATCCATCGCTCTGCAAAGGTCATCCTCCAGGAAGCCACTGCAGCCATGAAGCATAACTATGACTGACACAAAAGCCCCAGCTGTGCATATCAAGTTGGTGAAAAGGTATGGCTCAATGCAAAAAACCTACACCTTCCGCGACTGAAGAAGCTAGATGATAAATGAGTGGGCCCATTCACCATTCTTGCCAAACATGGGGCAAGCACACATGAGCTTGCACTTCCATCTGCCTGGCGAGTCCACAATTGATTCAACGAATCCCTTTTATCCCCGTTCCACGAGCCCAAATTCCCCAATCAACATCAACCTCCTCTGCCACCCCCTGAACTAATTGAAGGCGAAGAGGAATACGAGATTGAGGAACTACTTGACAGCCAAAATCGATGGGTAGGGAGAGGACACCAGAGAAGGGAGGTCACAGATTTCCTGGTAAAGTGGAAAGGGTATGGGCCAGAGGAGAACTCATGGGTAACCCGAGCAAACCTAGGGAACGTGGAGGAACTGGTACTGGACTACGAGGCATGGATGGGGGAGACTGTTAATGACCTCCACAGTGAATATGTGGGAGACTTGGACAACAAAGATGATTACAGTGTAGAAGGGGATTACCGGTCCAACTACTAAGAAGCATGATGCCATCAAGAGAAGCATGATGATGCATGTAGT